ATTGGCCAGCAGCGGGTCTGTCTTGGAGCCAGCTGGCATTGGCTCTATTGGACATAGGGAAAGCTTCTAGCAGCTTCTCACAGAAGCCACCCCTGTAGGCCCCCTGCTACCAAAACCTCGCCACACAAACCCAATACAACAGATAAATTTACCAGGCAAGGTAAACTATTTCTTGCATTGGAATTTACATGCAAATTTATGTATGCATAGCAGTTACTTTTTATATTATAAATTAATGACACTTTTTCAGTAAAAGGGAATATACAAAGTACTCAGACTTTGATCCCTGAGTCTTTGATGAAATATATTCATTGGATGTGTGACTTCCAAAATTTGTAATAAAAAGGTGGATTTTTTTTTTCCTTTAGGTACAGTTTTGCCATGTTTACTCACTACAAGCAGGACCTTATTTTGATAAATGCCTAGGATGAGGAAGGGTAGCAAAAGTGGACACCCTAAATATTTTTATGATGATGCAGTTCTCGGATAGGTGTAGCACAGACAACTGCAAAGCACGCTTCCCTACTTTTCCATCTAAATGTGCATCAGTCCACTTTTTAAAGTATTACCATTAAGTATAAAGTGGTAGTGAAGTTTACAAGTTCATTTTGTCCCAGATCTTTGCTGGCTGTCAAGAACAGTGTCACTGACAGCTGCAGTAGTGTTTGTGGCAAACATTTATTTTCAGAGCCAGTCATTCATTTAACATATGCTACCAAACAGCTGTCAGTCTGTATCATTTTTCAGTCATGATCAGCTTGGGGTTTTTTTTAAGTGAGGGCGTAGTTTTCTGTATTTTATTTGCAGGCTAGAGATAAGTTTAGTACAGCCCGTCTCAATAGAACATTTAGTGCAATGAAAGCAATAAACAAAAATCTTTGACTTAATGGCTTATTAGCAAATGGTTAAGCATGGAAAGAAAAACATGCACTTTCTCCTATGATGTGATTAAGTTCTCCTGTAAATACATTTGATGATTGATATTGAGCTGAATGCTCCCACCTAATTGATTTTTAAAAAATATATAAAATTCCCTACTAATGAATTAAAAAGTAAAGTCAAATTCCTGCAGAACTCATCAATGTTTTCAGTGATAAAATTTTGCTTCAGGAACTTACAGACATAAGGGGTGTCTTGTTTGTCATATGATCTGGTCCTTTCCATGAACTAAAATTTTTTGTCTAGTGAAATTTTTTGATGCAAGGGGAAGTTAGTAATAAATGAAGGAAAATATCGACATATCACAGAAATTAGTGATTGAACTGGTACACAATTCAAAAAAGCTATTTGAGAGATACAAAACTTGAGAGTTTATATAACTTCTGTTTTCATACCATTCTCCTGATTTACACTGTAGTATTTTAAACTTAATACTGGTAACGTAAAATGAACTTGTGTTGAAACGCATGTGATTTCTGTATGGCAGAAACATTGGTAAGGGTGCTGGCTACAAAAACAGGTCTAGAGGAAAAAAAATCAATGAAAGAAAGGCAATCAATTCTCCCATCTTTTTTTTTGTCGAACAATTGTGAATATTAAAGTAAGAAAAGGATAGAGAAAGAGGAGAAAGGAAAGAGGTGAATAGCTGCTTAGAAGGGCATGGACAGTAAACTAATCGTGTGGCTAAAAACATATTTACAAAGATTCTAATTTTACTTTTTCTCCTCCTCTTTTGATGTATGGAAGCCCATTAGTGGGAAATGCTTGCAAGAAGCTGCTTTTCTGGATCAGAATGTTTCATCTCAGTTGTTGGCAGCACATGCCATCAAATCTGAGTATAGAGATATGGCTTCTGTCTACTTTATATTGCCTGCCAGCAGGAGCATTGATGGAGTGAAAGTTTAAAATGACTGTAATTTGTTGCCTCCCAGTTATGAAGAGCATCAATCTTTTCTGTCTGGCCTTTTCTTTGCACAAAAGCAGTTTTTCAAAAACACAATGCATGCATTATTGTGAAAATACCAAATAATGTAAATTGGACTTATAAATCGTCTTTTAACAGCAAAATACAGTCCTGTTCATAATATTTTGATTTTTAGTTACATTTTATAAATTACACTTCATAATCTTCAGTTTTTCACTTCCCTCCCCCACCCAGACTGCTGTGATTTATAATTAACATTGCTAATAAAATATGTTCTAAGGTGGGATGACAACATAAATAATTGCAAGGTAAAAATCTAGTTGTTCCCAGACTTGTGTTGTAGTGCAGTTTTGCACGGTATGTGTTTACAGCCTAAACAAGTATATTGAGTAACTGAGGACTTGTCTTGCTTTCTCCCCCGCTTGCAACTCCCCCCTTCGCAGCTGTGCAATGGAGGTTCTGTCACAGAGCTTGTCAAAGGCCTGCTGAAGTGTGGCCAACGGTTGGATGAAGCTATAATCTCGTACATCTTATATGGTGCTCTCTTGGTAAGGATGTTCATTGGGCATGTAATGACAGCAGAGGGTGCAATTTACTCATCTCAGACGTACAGTTGCCATTTATAAAGTATGGTAATGTTGACAATATTATGTGGGTTATTATAGCAGCAGGGGTTGTATCAAGCATGTAATCCGGTGGACAGATGTTTCTATAGAGTATGTGCAGATTGTCTTCATTACATTCCCTAATAGTAGGGTAATTGTTTTTAAATAAGGGAGTAAACTTATTTTTGTTACTGCTGGTATATAGGGCCTTCAGCATTTACACAATAACCGGATCATTCATCGTGATGTGAAAGGGAACAACATTCTCCTGACAACAGAAGGTGGAGTCAAGCTCGTTGACTTTGGTAATGACCACTTCCCATTTGTTTTCCTGATACATGCAGTTTAGCCAAAGGCATCTGTTTACTTTCCCTTGGGAAGGCAGAATGCCATAGCGAGATTTTTTCAGAAGGATACTCAGAATTATTTTAAGGAGGAAAATGGAGAAGGAACCTGATAACAGCAAGAATAAAAATTCTAGCCAAAAATCAGTAATAGACTTTTAGCTTAAAAGCTTAAATATAATAATTAAAAATAGTTCTGAAGGTACCATTTTATTTACAAAGCTCTTTTGCATTTCACAAGGAATGTCAGTTTCAGGGCAGTTGTCCTCCTAATTTAAATATAGATATTCTGGCTTTTGCATATGAAAAGGAAACATTCTTCTCTCTGAAATGGCTTTTGCTAGCCTTAAGCATATTTTTTCCCTCTGAGCAGAAGGTAAAATAGTCCCTTGGGTCCAAAACCCAACATCCATTTAATTTGTGATTATTGCTGTTAGATTTGAGCATTGCATAAGAAACGGGGGGCGGGGGGGAGAGGTAGGTAGAAAGGAACTTGGCAATAGAATTTAACTCAGTTCAGCAATTTTTTTTTCCTTTAAACATGCACTTAGAAAAATAAGGAAATGCTGTAGTCCCTCAGATATGTATGCAATGGAATGGACAATTTTATTAAAGGAAACAGAAACGGATTGTTAGTAATATGATTTATTAATGAAACCATATAATGCATAAGGTAATTGTCATTGAGAATAGTGTTGTGTGAATAATAGATGTTTGTTTAGCAATGCATGAAGGTAAAGAAAAACGTTCACAAAATGAAAGTAATGTAAAACGGCGTGCCAAAAAATTCTGCAAATAGCAATATTTTTTTTTTTAAAATCCAAAAATATTAGATTTATGCAGTGGAAAGAAAATTTCATACTGATGTTGTCATGGTATTATAAATTTAACATAAAAATCTATTGAAGATGCTAAAGTAAGTTGGGAAACAGGAGACTTCTTCATCTTCTAGGGACAGAAATTCATTATGTTGAATGTTAAAGGCAGCAATTAAAATAGTGCTGGGAGAAACATATGGCCTGAAGCAAAACTTGGAGTGAGTCCCTGACCTAGTACAAGGGAGGAAGATCCCTTCTCATTTGGGGGAATTTTGGCAGTGTGATCTTTGTTTGTAACTACTCCATTCTGGGAAAAGTTGGCTTTTCTCCCCAGAGCTAAATGTTTTTATCAGATGTATCAAAGGCCTTAGCTGCAACAGAAGCTCAGCTTGGAGCTCTGGCTTCCAAAAGCAGATCAGTGTGCTGCAACTCCAAGTGGCACATTCAAGGAAACTGAGAATCCCAACCTTTCTGGTGTCCCATGGGTCTCTCTGATTCCACATTTAGGATGTACGGGGTTTTTTCTACTTTTTAAGTTACAACAGTAACACTAGAGAATTACAACAAATATGACTACGTCAGAAAAAGACACGAGTTAAATCTCGAGTGTTTTCTAACACTTAACAGTTAGGAAACGCCAAGAAATGCCCACTTATCTATGCGCTTCCTGACTAAAGAAGCATTAGGCACCAAGCTTTCATTAAGTTGCTATTTTTCCCCTGTAGCCCACTGCCGTAGTCAGAGAAGGGACTCTGGGAAAGAATTAGGACTGATTCACAGGTGATATTATTTGTAGAACTGTTTGTCTCATTTGTTGCAGAAAGTGGAAGACACATAGTGAAAAATGTAAGGAGTTCAGGAAGAGAAGGGACTTGCAGTTTAGACAGTTGAATGGCATCCAATTGGAGACTATTCTTGCTTCTGCCAGTGTTTCTGGGTGATGTTGGCAAGTCACTCACATCAGACTTTTTAGAAGTGGCCCCTCTGTTCCTCATTTTCCCAACAGCCAGTTTGAAACATCTTGTCCTCCTCTGCAGAAGAGCTAAGTGTTCTTGAACTGCAGCTGAGGTCTATTATGGCTCTACTTGAGGCACATGGAGTACCTGAAAACTTGAAAGATCTCAGATTAAGTACCCAAAACCAGTGGATGCTTTGGATATTTTTAAGTTAATCCCTGGAACTAATAATCCTCTCCCATTTTGCAGGAATGCTAAGGAGATTCACTGTTTGATGAGTAGGGAAGGCACAACGTCAGAAGGAAAAGAAAATAATAATAATTTTAAATTTAGTATAAGATTGGATATACTAAATAAGTAACTAGAACTCAAATTGATGGGGATAAAAAAAGTATTAAATGACTACCTATTCAGTGAATGCTATCCATTCTGTCCACAGAATGAGACAGAATCTTGAAGGAAAAAAAAAAGTTACTTCATGTTCAAGGCTGTACATACAGATATTAGGTCACAGAAAAGATTACACAGATATCCTTAATTGAGATTTTTTTTTTTCCCTTTATTGCATGACTTTACAACTTGCTTTTTCAATGTAACACACATTTCTTCCCTCAACTGCTCTCAACAGCATGATATATTTGAATAAATGTTGGTCACAGTGTAAGTCAACCCCAAATGTCTGCAATTTATCATTCGTTTATGCTCATGCTCTCTCACTCTCTACCGCTGTCTCCCTCTCTCAGCTCTTTGGTATTCTGCACTGTTTTGGAGTGTCCATAGATAGCAGCTACAAATTAAGCTAGCTGTAGAGAGATCAGAGTTAAATGCACAAAGGCTTGCTGTAGGTCCTAGCCATTAACTGTTTCACAGCGGTACTCAGGAAATCACTGAAGACTTGCAATCACACTGAAAAATGAAAAATAAATACAGAATTGGATCTTGGAGCCAGCAATCAAATTATTTAACTTATGAATTATGAGTCCCAATTTCTTATTTATTGGCATCAGGCAAGGTGTATTATATGTGTTTCTGCCCATTTTTGTCTCTGGGTAATGCCATAGGAGCAGACCACTGTGGTTTTTGTTTTTAAACAATGTTAACATGAAATACATTTTTAAGTCAATACTGGTTTTGTGTCAACTTATTGGAATGCTCCTGAACTATACAATTCAATTATATGTTGACCAGAGCACAGAAGAAGATCTGCTGTGAAAGTTCATTCTGATTTGTTAACGTCGTTTGATTTCACTCTAGTTCTTTCTTCCTTTTTTCAGCTGTGCTTCAGTAGTCCAGCCCCAGTCAGCAAAGCACTGAAGCACAGGCTTTGTTTTAAGCATGTGTTTAACTCCCTAAGAACAGGCTGCAGTGTGAGCTTGAGCTCCCATGCTTTTCTCAGTAGGGAAAACAGGAGCCTCTGCAAATACTCTAGTGAACAAGTTTCCTGCCAGCAGTGTTCAGGGAGTAAATTTCTGAAACAGAAGTTTTAAAGTCACGTTGTAATTTGAATAGTTCCTGTTTATACTCATGAAAACAGTAGAAAGAATTCTCGGATATTTAGGTGCTAATTGAATTTTTGAGGTTGAATGAAAGTGCTTCAAACTGAGAGCCATTCACAAAACAATCTCGTAGCAATTCTGAACGAAAAGAGCAAGCTGAAATTAATCAAAAGAATTCGGTACCAATGCCGCACCTACTTTGGCCAGGCATTCTGCAGCTGTACTCCCAGGCTTGGGGTTTGTTGTCCAGATTTCTTGAAATAAACTGACTGAAATGACAGAATGAATTTGAAGCCAAGTTCTTTGGATCTGTTTTATTGCAGGTGTTTCAGCCCAGCTCACCAGCACACGGCTGCGTAGAAACACCTCAGTGGGAACACCCTTTTGGATGGCACCTGAGGTAGGCAAACATTCCTATCTGGGTTATCTCCATTCGTTGCAATGCACACTTTGTTGCCACTTCCACATAGTAGGAGAAAAGGGTAATTTTTCTTCCCTCTAGTATGGCTGTGTTTCTACTTTACATCTAGGCCCTTGTTCAGTAAAATGAATGTACTATTCAAATATACAAAATGGATTTCTAATAATCTTCATTATTTTCTTCTCTGTAATGTTTCCATAAAAGTACAGATGACCTGCAAATAACTGAGGGTCTCCTTGAAAATTTTATGACTTTCCAACCAAATACTGTATGTTTTGGTGTGATTGTCTGTGCCTCTAAATACAGACTGGGAGGAGAAGGAGGAATTCCCACATTCCTGTCTTGCTATAGGACTCTGCAAAACCCTGATTCAGCTATGTGTTTTTTAACCTTAATCGTTGACTGGGGACCTACGCACTTAGACACATGGACTAGCATAGATTAAAAATGGAGAAAGATAATCTACAGGCAGCCTAGCCAAGTATCTTAGACCATATTTTTACATACTACTCCTCAGACATAATGCTTTTCCTTCTATTTCATGAAGCTGTAGAAAGTTTTAACACACTGTTGAACAAAAGTCTCTTATCTTTCACCCCAAATTGAGGGAAAGTACATATTAATCTTTACCCTCCCCATTTTAAGAAACAAAAAATACTTTTGTAAGGTGTAGATGATGAAATTAAAAAAACAGGGAATGAAAAGGCAGTGGTCTGTTTATTTGTAAGTTGTTAAACCTTCATAACAGTAGTAGCCTCATTTCTGTTGAAGACCATTAGACTTACTTGAATTTTGGGGAGTTCGGGATGGAATTTGCATCTGTTACAAATGCACACAGGTCTATTTCTGTATGTCAAACAGTTAAAATTATGGTGCAAACATTTGTTTTAAAATATGTTATACTTTTTATACATCTATTTCTGCTGCTAAGGAAGGCTGATTATAGCTGAGCAGAGAAGAGAAGCTGCTGTAACAGATCCAAAATTGATCTTGCACAGTCTCACAAAGAATGGCTGATATTTTACCATCTCCATAACAACCAGTTTACGTCACAAAGGAGACACAAGATACCTTAGAAACCACTGTGCAAACGTTATTTATGGAATCACCTTGGTTGGAGACATTCTGAAACCTTTATAAAACACTCCTCTAGACAATAATGGACATATTATGAAATATTTTATTAAACTCGGATTATTAGAAGTTATTTTTACAGTACTGTTTTGCTTGAATAATTGCCATCAAAGGCAGTAATCATACCAAATTTGTTTTCCCATCCTGCTTGAAAATATTCATTCTCAAGGTAAAAAGCCAAAGAAATAAGCAGAGATTTTGATCTGAAAAATTTTGACCTGAAAATACAACACACACAACCAAGGTATGTTATGTGCATAGCACATCAAAACAGGAACAGAAGTGGCTTTGAATGCTTCCTGTTTTGAAAAGATTTGTCAAAATAACCAACCCAGTACCTTAAGCATAGTAACTCATACTACATTTGCATGCCTGTGTGAGCCACACCGATCAGGCTTCAGAGATGTACCAATCTGCAAGACAGCTGTAAGATGCTCAGATATCCATTCTGCTGTTGAAGTGGCTTTTAAGTGACAAGTTGCCTAACACTCGTGCTCAAGTCACTACAGTTGCTTTCTTTGTTTTCATATGGATGACATATTTCAACCGATGTGTGAGGTGCAGCTTACCTTACTTCTGGGGAGATCTTTCTGGTATTTTTAAAATGTGCAGCCAGATTTTTATGCGAGAGATGAAAGATTAGGACTGCAATAAGTTGAAAAACTCTGCTTCAGTAATAGCTTATTAGGAACAGTGTTTTCTAGATGAGACAGTGGTGAGATCAGTAAAAACTAGAAAAGCACTTAACAAACAGTTGCAAAAATCTTGCTGCCTAAAGGTTTTGATGTAGGATAGAATCTATGTCAAACCCCAAAATACCATAAAATAACTGGACAGGAAGGAAATATTACTAATCAGAGAAATAGAAAGCATAAAGACTAGGGTTTTTTTTTGTTTTGTTTTTTTTAAATTGGACTTTTACTGTCTGTGTGAGAAACGGGAGCCTCAGTCAACGCATAAGGCAATGATGGGACCTCATCTTATCTCAGGGTGAGAAAGATGGATTTAATCTGAAGGGGGAGTGGAGAAGGGAGATGAAAAAGCTTGCCTTGGAGGAGGAGTGTTTCAGAGAAGTAAACCTTGTGAAGTGAAGCTGACAGAATATTTTCCAGGGTAAACCCCAGGAAAATAAAACCTGGAGAAGAATGATGGAAGACCATTAAAGCTGACAGACAGGAATAACTAGATATAAGCAGGAGACAAATATGCTGGAAACTAGAATCACTAGATCAGCCTGGATCAGGAACAGCCTGTATAACAAGGAAAACCATCATATTTTAAGATGAAGTTTGCAAAATGCATCAAAGGGATTATATGGCGTGGTACTTGCAATAGCAAAAGTTCATAGGAAAATAGCAGTGACTGAGGGTGGTATAAGGTGTTCTGTTCAGCTCAATGTTCTTACTGGCAGCACGAAAAGCAACAGCTTAACAGTTTTGAGTGACTTAAACATCTTAGAGGGCTCTCTTTTCTGATGACTGTGAGGCTTGTTTAGCAGCAACAGGACAAATCAAAAAAATTTGTCCTTGAGCATCTGTTTTGAGCAGAGCATATGATTAACAAAAATTTTGCTGAAAAATGAAAATACAGGGAAAAACTAGGCTGTGTGGAAGCAACAGAGGAACTTGGCAAGGATGAGTCAATTTGAGAGCAGCTTTAAAGTAGACTCACTGAAAATCAATCATTGCTGTTTAACCTAATTAGTATTGTCTCACACTTAAAAACATAGATGTGCAGAAACTGTAACACTGAACGCAGGCATGCCAAAAAAAGATAAATAAGGCAGGATAGTTTAAGTATGGTGGATGTTTAAAGCTGCCTGTTGCCAAACACTTAAGTTATCTAAAATCTGCTTCTATTATGCTGAAATAAATTGTGTTGAATGCTAGCAGGAGGAATCAGATTTGAAACTTTTGAACTGAACTGCCTTTACACCTCTGGTTCTAAACCTTAACATCTTGTTTTCAACCTCCAGTGCAGAACTGAACAAAATCTAGTTCAAACAGAATTGCAGTTTTTCTTTTTCCCAAATATATTATCAGGATCTAGCTGGAAACTTGACTCTGGGAACAAGCTCAGCTAGAATCTCTACATGTTTTCTTTGGCCCAAACCTAGTTTTAAGAACAGAAATAGAAAAAGAAAAAGATACTTGAAGTCAGAAAGAACTGGAGAGATGCTGAAGGTAATTTAAAACCACAGGGAGTATGCTGTTACATTTTACTGATAACTGCTAAAAGTGGCAATGGTGCATGCATACTTATGTTTTAAAAGGAACATAATTAAAACATAGTTGATCCTCTGAAGAATTGTGTTGAAATATGACACGTGACAGTAGGAAAGGCTGAGACAAGATATCATAAGAGCTCTGTAATAATGCGTTAACCAGAGGTAAAATCTTTGCTCTGTTTTGCTATTGATTTCAGAGGGATTTCAGATGTCACGGTATTATTTAAAGCTGTGTCAACTCTGTATTTTGGATATTTGTTACCATCCTGCCAAGATGAAGTCATGATCAGTAAGACTGACCCAGAGACAACAGATTGTTTTCCTTCCCCCTGCTGAATCAAGGCATACTTCCTGGGATAAAATCCAGTACATCTGAGCATCAGAATAAATTTCTGAAGTGTTAGAACAATAGGTGACTAGTTTAAATTGTCTTTCTTTTTCCAATGTTTCTTTGTATTTTTTTAAACTTTAAATCTGATCATATGTGTGTACAATAAGTCTAATCCTGAAACAATGAATAATATTTGCATTGTTTCAGTACAAAGCTGTGAGTCTGCGTAATCTAAAGAAAAATCAACCAAACTGGTAAAAAAAGCACCCCAAAAAGTCATTTACATTAACGTAGTTGAAAAATACATAAAGGGAAAAATCTAATTTTGCAAAGACTCACAGCAGCTTTTCCACTGAAGTCAATATTCATTACAGTAAGGGCTGTATTCAGGCCTTAGAATTTGGTCAAAAAAAAATCTTCCTTTTGGTAGATTAGGGCTGGTTTCTCTTATTTACATCTCTATTGTAGGAGACGTGAAAAAATTACCCAAAAATACGTTTAAGTAAAGACATTTAATGCATAGTTAAATACTGAGTTGGAAAAACAGCGTAGAAAAGATAACCCCATCACTAACCTGGGCTTATGTTTTTAATTAACTCTAAACAAGTACAGTGATACATTCCCCTGAAACTATTGAATATATTCTCATTTTGTCACACTTCAACCTAGCTTATTTGCCAGCCCTTTGCTTACATCATGGGACTCAAGGTCAGCATCCTGTTAATAGCTCTAGGTCTCTTCACTTTAATTCCTTATTAGCTAAAATTAGCTCTTCTGATATGCATATTTCCACTACACTTCTAAATGCCAACTAAGCATGGAATTTTGTAAATGCTGATTTATAATGAACTGTAGGAATCCACCACTTAGTATAAATAGGATACAGATTTCAAGAATGTATATGTACTTATTTTCCTTCCCGAAAGCCATTTAAAAATAGTTGTACAGTGAAACAGGGCGTATTTTGTGATAAAAAAACGTAAGGAACTATGTAGCTTCTCTAATAAGGAAAATTTTGAAAATATTTCCTTATAACATCTTCCATGAAGTTGTAATAACTATTCTCTTACAGCTAATGATAAGGTAGAGTACTGAATTAGCTCTTACTACAGCTTTTTTTTACCTCATGAATTACAGTAAATGAGATAAGATTGAAACATAATTTACAGAAAATAACTGATTGTCCCTGGGAAGAAACTTCACAGATGGGAACAGAGAAAACTTTGGCTGCTTTTACAGAATTTGTGTTTATCTGGCATCATGATTAATTAGTGGTGAAATACTTGA